CATCAATGCGCTTCCCACGTCGTATTTGAAAAACGCGAGGCAGTACGCGCCAGGTGCCACGGAGGACCACGGGCAGTATATCTTTTGGGGCGCTGGAGGCGAAGGAGCAGTGCAGGGCATGACAGAGTTGACGGAGTGCAAGCGCGTGGAGGATCAAGACGACTGGTTTCTCGGAGTGCAGGACGAGTTCCGCCGAGGGGCGTTGTCTGAACGCACGCACAATTTTTTACATGGCAGACCGACGGATGTGCCGGGGTCGTGGGTGAACGGTGCACCGTTGTGCGGGAACACGCGTTGTCTCGAAGACATAGAGGCAATTGCGAGGCAAAACGAGCTCGAATGTGACGCTTGCAAAGCTGAGCGGGAAAAGAGAAAGCTCGTTGCGACATCGCCAGAAGACGCGCGGTTTCGGGAGGAGAAATTCCTTGATGCTGTCGCCATTTATGCGAACCAAGACATTCGTTGCCACGTGGGGAAGCAGAGAGCTGTGCAATGGGCAACGCAGCGAGGAGAACAGCTGCTGCGGGTCGCAGCGAGGGACCGCCCTTGCCATGGGGGAGAACAGCGGCGGCCGTACACGGTGGAGGATAAGATACGTTGGCTGGGGTACCACGAGAAGGAGTGCGCAAGCTTGCCTGGGTGGCTGCCGCTGGCCAAAGGGATGCCCGTGGCTCTGGGGGATCACTTGGATCGGTCGAAGAAACAGCTCCTGCGGGGGCGTACAGCCACGATCCATGGATGGGTCCTGCACAAGGACGAGGTCGTGGGAGATGAAGACGAGGAGGTCTTGTCGCATATGCCGAAAATGATTGTGTTGGATTTCAATACGAAGGAGTGGCACCTGCCCGGGTGGGAGCCGGGGCTGTATCCGATCTTCCCCTCGAATGGTCGGCAATGGTTCTTGGATGGGTATCGGAAGCACCCTGTGTTGAGTGTGAAACGCACCCAGTTTATGATAACCCCGGCTTTGGCAGTAACGGCGCACTCCGCGCAGGGCCGGACCATGGGAGCAGTGATAGCGGACCTTGAAAGAGGGCGCGGCGTGAGTTGGATGTCAAGTTACGTTGCCATCACTCGCGTGCGCAGACGGGAGAATCTGCTGATTTTCCGGCCGTTTGACAGGAGGCCGCGCAACGCAGGTGAGATGCCAGGCACGAAGAAACTTTTGCAGGTACTACGAGGGGAGAGCGTGGATTGGGATGAGTGGGAGGCGGAGTTGATGCCAAGAGACCAGTGCGAGCGCTGCCGGCGGAGGTTGCTGGTAGAGGCGTTCTCGAAGTACGAGTTCCAGAGGAAGGAAAGGCCAGCGTTCTGCAAAGAGTGCACGGAAGAGATGAAGAACGCCGACGAGAAATGGCGCACCACGTGCAGAGGGTGGGCAACGAGAGCGGAAGGTGAAGATGCGACGCGGCACGGTGACGATCGGAGTGGGGGTGCAGCGGCCGGCGGCGGGGAGCCAAGAAGGGTTCGGACAATGTATTGCGCGAAGTGCAGCCATGTCAAAGCCAAGCAGAAGTCGCGGAGCGGCAACGCGAAGTGGGTCGAGTGCGTCGGCAAGGTGCGATGTACGAACGGTAAGTGCCTGTCGCTGTATGACGCAAAGGCGGATATGTCGGAGGCTCAGAAGAAGCAGAACGCAGCGGGCCAGAGGTTGTGTCGGAAATGCGCCGCCGAACGTCAGAGGACGACGCTAGTGTCGAATAACAGGAAACGCGCGATCACATTGCGGTGTTCGAACAGCGACTGCCTGTCGGAGTTCCAAGAGGAGGCGGGGGTGTCCGAAGCTCAGAAGAAGCACAAAGCAGCAGGGGAGAGGTTGTGTCGGAAATGCGCGGAAGAACGAGATAGGGCGACGCGCGAGTCGAATAATAAGAAACGGAAAGCCGAGGCGGACGCGAAGCCGCTGACGTGCGCGGCGTGCGGAGGAACGTTCTCGGACACGAGACATTTGACGCCTAACCAAGTGGAACATCATCGAAAGACGAAAGGAGCCAAAGTGGTGTGCGGAGGCTGCAAGGAACTCGGGTTCACAGCTCGCAGTTGCCAGGCGTATCAGTGCAGCGGCGCGTGCAAGAGAAGACTACCGAAGTCGGCGTTCCCCGACCCGCACAATGTCCCGCGCGACGCAAAGAAAGGCACCCTGAAGTGCAACACCTGCAAATGATGCCGAATCGGGCGCGCGTACTGGGGGGAAAAAGGAAAACGGGGACAGGGGAATGCGGGATGAGGCGGAGGAGACAGGGGAGAAGCATCGAAAATGACGAAGTGAAGCGGGCCAGGTTCACAAGAGGAGGGGGACGAGGAGGAGTGGGCCGAGGAGAGGGTGGGGGAGGAGGAGGAGGAGGAGGAGGGGGACACTGAGATGAGGCTCTGGGTTATGGTCTATGTGTGAGAGGTTCTTGTATGTGTATCGGGATTTGGCGGCACGCCTTTCGGAGGCCTCTGGACAGCAGTTTTGCATCCACTGGGGGGCCGAGGTGGAAAAGGCGGGTGAGGAGGAGGAGGAGGAGGAGGGGCACAGGGAGGAAATGATCTGGGTCATGGATTATGGGTTCTTAGCCTTGGGAGCGCGAATCCCGCTTGTGCGGTGATCGCTGGGATCTCTTGCGGGGCTTCTCGCGGGACTCTTGGAGGCAGTTTCGAAGCGTGTTGGGGGCCGTTTTGAGGCCGTTTTGAAGCCTCTTGGGGGCCTCTTGGGGCCTCTTGGGGGCGTCTTTGAGGCCTCTTGGGGTCTCTTGTGGCCTTCTACGGCCGTCTTGGGGCGGAAGGCTCGGATTGTCGGTTCGGGCTCCCCCTCTTGGGCCCCTCTTGTGGCCGTCTTGGGGCCCTCTTGGGCCGTCTTGGGAGCCTCTTGAGCTGTCTTGGCGCCCTCTTGGGCCGACTTAGGCGCCTCTTGGGGGCTTCTGAGGCCGTCTTGGGGCGGTCTTGGGGTGCTTTTGGCCCGTCTTCAACCCCGTGAGGGCCGACAAGTCGGAAATGATCAAAATGTACGTTTTACCATCGGAATTTGACGATTTTCGGCTCGTCGGCCCTTCTGAGGACTGCTCTTGGAGGCCTCTTGGGCCGTCTTGGAGGCCTCTTGGCTCGTCTTGGGACCATCGTGGGCGTCTTGGAGCGCTCGTTTGGCGTCTCGGGGCCATCGTGGGCCGTTTTGGAGGCCTCTTGGGGCCTTCTTGGCTCGTCTGGAGCCCCTTTTGGGCCCAAAAGAGCCCCGTGAGTCGCTCGTGCCGGGCCGGGGGGGGGGGCCATCAGGGGGGGGTCAAATCTCCGGTTTGGGGTCCCTGGGGGGGGACTATAGGGGAGGGGAACTATCTCACACGCCTAGATTTATTTGTGTGTATTTATTTGTGTGTCCTGGGGCCCCTTCAAACTGCGCCGCATAACGGGCACTTGCTTCAGCCAGGTCTGCGAGCCTACCCGGCGGGTCGAGCCCTCGGCCCAGGGAGAATTCGAAGTCACATCGCGGAACGCCCTTTGTCGCCGAGCGCGTGCCACTACTCGCAAAGTGCCTGCTCGCAAACGTCCGAAAAAACACCTGTCTGCTTTGACGTAATGTATCGCAGTTCCTCGGCGGGGGATCCAGGCCATTTGCGAGTAGGTCCTGTGCGAGTAGTGGAACGCGCTCGTCGACTTGACTTGGCCCCACACCCATCACTTCGGCCGAGGCATCGCCTAGCTAGACAGGGGCACGCCCGACTCGATGGCCGAGGCGTGCACGTTCAAAGAGGCAATCGAAAAACGCCAAGGCCTGAAGGTAGCCCGCCTCGAAGAGAACGGCGTCTACATGTGATACACAACCGAGCAAGAGATCCTAAAGTCGATCGGCGATGCAAGAGGAGCCTACTACGATTACACCCGCGAGCGGTTCAGTGAATGAAGAACGAATAGAAAGGGGAGCTGGTTGTGATTGGCGAAGGATCGGACATGACCAGGACCCCAGGCAAGGGGACCTCAGCCCAGAGGTTTCTCGCTCTATCTTCGGCTTCATGGGGCAAAAGTTGTCTGTTCTTACGATTTCGTGAATCGTTCGTATGACAACGACGAGTCGTTGGTTTGACACGGACAAGGACGAGTCGTTCGTATGACAGGCACGTATACGGGGCCTCGGGACCGTCAAAAAACGATTCGGGATGAAAAGCAGGCCCCAGGGAAGGGGTCCAGACCTCTGGGGGTCGACGTTGTGAACAAAAGCACGGCGTCGGGGGTCTGGGTGTGAGGTACAGTCGGCCCCGATTGGTAGGTCGACCATGCCAGATCGAGTGTACCCGTGTGTCCTGTCTATCCCGACCTGTGCAACCCGCATGCCCGGTAGTGCTTTAGGGGCAACGTTACCGTCGGACGAGTCTCGTGCCCTCTCGGGTGCCCTGCCCAATCGAGTCCAGCTGTATGGGGGAGGGAGGGAGGGAGGGAGGGAGGGAGGGAGGGGGGAGGAGGGGAGGGAGGGGAGGGAGGGAGGAAGACAGGGATGGATCCGGGGGAACGGGTCCAGTCCTTCGGGGTCGACGTGGAACAAACATCACGGCGTCGGGGGTTCCTTGTATGGGGGAGGGAGGGGGGGAGGAGGGGAATAACGGGGAGGGAGGGAGGGATGGGGAAGGAGGGGGAGGGGTCGAGAGGAGGGGGAGGGAGGGAGGGTGGGGAGGGGTGGGAGGGAGGGGGAGGAGGGGGAGGGAGGGAGGGGGAGGGAGGGAGGGGTGGGGGGAGGGGAGGGGAGGGGAGGGGAGGAGGAGGGAGGAGCAGGGAGGGGAGGGAGCGAGAGGAGGGGGAGGGAGCGAAAGGAGGGGAGGGAGCGAAAGGAGGGGAGGGGGAGGGAGGGGGAGGGGGGGAGGGAGGGGAGGGGTGGGAGGGCTTGGGAGGGGAGGGGGAGGGGCAGGAAGGGAGGCAGGGAGGGAAAGGAGGGCAGGGGAGGGCAGGGGAGGGCAGGGGAGGGCAGGGAAGGGCAGGGGAGGGGAGGAGCGGGAGGAGGGAGGCAGGGATTCGAGGCCCCCCCCCCGGCCGAGGAGCGGCCCCACCGGCTCCTCTTCCGCTCGACGCTGCTGCCGGCCGCCCCGCTGACCCGCGGCGCGCCCGGAGCCGCCCCACCCGGCGCCGCGCCGCCCGAGGTCGGAGGGCACCCACGGAAGCCCCGACGCGGCCGCGGCGTAGCAAAGTGAGGGCGGCAAGCGTCTCTCCTCCTCCTCCTCCTCCTCCTCCTCCTCCTCCTCCTCCTCCTCCTCCTCCTCCTCCTCCTCCTCCTCCTCCTCCTCCTCCTCCTCCTCCTCCTTTTCGGGAGCGGAAAAGAGGGGGTCGATGATTAGGGGGGGGGATCTCATGGCGCGGGCCATGATTTGTCCTCAGATTTCATGGCGCCTCTTCTCGTTTCATTACGTCCCTGCCCCCCCCGCTGGGCCGCGCACATGCCGCCGGTCATGATTTGCACCCCCTTCTTGGACCCCCCCCTCTTGGCCGCTCCCGATATTTTTCAAGCACGCCCAAATGGGGATCCAGCCGAAAGGGGGTGGTGCAATAGATGTGGGGCAAGTGTATTGCATATGTACTGCGCCGGAGAATTGTATTGCATTGTATTGCGAGTAATGTATTGCACGCGAAAATCCAGCAATACATTTGCGTCCCGGAATATATTGCACGCCTTATATGTCTTGTAACCACACAAACATACTGCACCAAATCTATTGCACCACCCCCATGTCGTTGGACCCCCTTTTGGGTCAACCCGAATTTTCTGCCCCGGGGGGCCCTCGCCGGGCCCCGGGGGCGCCCAAAGACGGCTCAGGATGAAAAACCGGCCCCGGGGAAGGAGTCTGGATTTTCAGGGACGCCGTACCGAAAACATCAGGGCGTCGCATGTCTGGGCAACTAGACACCTACACCCTACAGTCGGACCGAGGTATAAGGTCGAGGTCGGTTCGGAGAGGGTACCCTCGAGTTCTTCGTGTGTTGCTGGATGTTCTTGTGTATCCTGGGGAGGGTACCCTTTGGATGCTCTGTGCGTTTTGGCCGGCGGAGGGTCTCATGTTCTCGGGGGGTGTTCTCCTGGCCCAGGTCCGACCGTACACCGACCCTGGCCAGGCCGACCCTGGGCCCGAGCCTGCGAAGCCAGACTCGTGGGATGGACCCTGGCCAGGGTCGACAGTGCCAGGCAGGCCACAGCTGGGGGAGCTGTGGTCCTCACCCCCCACGGGGGGGACCCATCAATCTCGACGCCCCCCTCGAGAGAGATCGTCGCTGCGATGGGAAGCGCGGGAAACCAAAAGCAAGACGAAAACGAAAAGCACTGCTCAACCAGGTCGACCCCTGAGGTGCACACCCGGGGGGGTGTTGTGCATACCTCGCCGTCGCTTCCAGGCGGAACCCAGGCATAGATTCCACGCGCCCCCTCGCCAAGCAGCTTGACCGCTGCGGGCCACCCCGCAGGCAGCTTCGCCCCGCTTGGTCTCCTCTTGGAAGCGAGGGCGGTCAAAAACGAGGCAGGTCAGCCACGCGCAGAGGGGGGGGAGAGGGGGGAGGACTTCTGAGAAGCAACCCTGCTTCTTAGAAGGCGCTGGACTTGTCTGTAGATGCAGGGCCGGCGCCTTCCAAGAAGCGGCCGCCTTCTGAGAAGCCTTCCCCCCTCCCCCTACACCCTTGTGCGCGCCGCCAAGAAAGTTCGTTTGCCTCTTGGCGTACGGTCAGGAACTTTCAGTTCGCGTGTCGCGCCGCTGGTTCTGGCCCACCGCGCTTCGGTGCGGTCACCGAGCACCAACGTCCCCAGCCGTTCCCAGCCTCCCGCCCCGCGGAGCGGAGCGACACGCTGTCCGCTCGCAAGGCATAGCGTGTCGCCAGAGCTTCCGCCGCGACACGCTGAACAAAAGTCCCCGACCGTAGAACACTGCCCTGCCCAGCGCGAGGAGCCGAATGTCGGCTGCGGGCACCAAGGGAGGCGGGGACATCACGTCTTGGCCCTGATGTCCCCGTGTTGCCGTTCATGTTCTCCCATGTTTGACGTGGCAGCTCGTGTTTTTTGCTGTTGTTTTTTCCGCAGAGTTCCTGATATGCCCAGGGATGTTGTTGATGCGTTGGCTCTGTTCCTCGCATCCTGTGCGCCTGCCCAATGCGACGGCGATGGCGACGGCGACGACGATGACGGCGTCGGCGACGCCGCCGACGACGACGACGACAACGACGAAGACGCCGACGCCGCCGCCGACGCCGCCGCCGCCGACGACGACGACGACAACGACGGCGACGAAGATGACGACGACGACGCCGACGACGACGACGACGCCGCCGACTACGACGACGACGACGACGCCGCCGCCGACGACGACGACGACGGCAACGACGACGCCGCCGCCGCCGACGCCGACGCCGACGACGACAAAGAGGACGACCAGCAACCGCACGTCGGCGGCGGCGGCGGCGAGGCCGACGCTGACGCCGACGACGCCGCCGCCGCCGCCGACGACGACGACGACGACGACGACGACGACGGCGCCGACGCCGACGCCGACGACGCCGACGCCGACGCCGTATAGTTCGCACCCTCCTGCGAGGGCGGCGGCGCGGCTCCGGCCGCATGCCCGTCGGCGCCCGCGGGCGGCGAGGAGCCGCCGCGGGCCGCCTCGGCCGCGGCCGCGGCGCCGACGCCGCTGGGCTTCCGGGCGGGCCCGTCCAGGCGGTGACGCTCGTCGTCGTCGTCGTCGTCGTCGGCGGCGTCGGCGTCGGCGTCGGCGTCGGCGTCGGCGCCGTCGTCGCCGCCGTCGTGCGGCCGCTGGTCGTCCTCTTTGTCGGCGTCGGCGACGGTGGCGTCGTCGTCGTCGTCGTCGGCGGAGGCGTCGTCGTCGCCACCGCCGACGTGCGGCCGCTGGTCGTCCTCTTTGTCGGCGTCGGCGACGGCGGCGTCGTTGTCGTCGTCGTCGGCGGATGCGTCGTCGTCGCCACCGCCGACGTGCGGCCGCTGGTCGTCATCTTTGTCGGCGACGGCGGCGTCGGCGTGGGCGACGTCGCCATAGGCGTTGTCGTCGGCGTCGTCGTCGTCATCGTCGTCGTCGTCGTCGTCCTCGTCGCCGCCGCCGACGTGCGGCCGCTGGTCGTCCTCTTTGTCGGCGTCGGCGACGGCGGCGTCGTCGTCGGCGTCGGCGGCGGCGTCGGCGTGAGCGTCGGCGTCGGCGTCGTCGTCGCCGCCTAAGTGCGGCCGCTGGTCGTCGTCGTCGTCGTCGGCGTCGTCGGCGTCGGCGTCAGCGGCGTCGGCATCGGCGTCGGCGTCGGCGTCAGCATCGGCGTCGGCGTCGTCGTCGTCGGCGTCGTCGTCGTCGTTGTCGTCGTCGCCGCCGCCGCCGACGTGCGGCCGCTGGTCGTCCTCTCTGTCGGCGTCGGCGACGGAAGGAGGAGGAGGGAGGAGGAGGCGGAGGAGGAGGAGAGAAGGAGGAGGCGTCGTCGCCGTCGTCGGGTCGGCGGCGGGCGTCGGCGTCGGCGTCGGCGTCGGCGGGTCGGCGTCGGCGTCGACGTCGTCGTCGTCGGCGTCGTCGTCGGCGGCGGCGGCGTCGTCGTCGCCACCGCTGACGTGCGGCCGCTGGTCGTCCTCTTTGTCGGCGTCGGCGTCGGCGGCTCGGCGTCGCGTCGGCTCGCTTGTCGGCGTCAGCGTCGGCGTCGTCGGCGTCGTCGTCGTCGTCGTCGTCGCCGCCGCCGCCGACGTGCGGCCGGCTGGTCGTCCACTGTGTCGGCGTCGGCGGCGTCGACGTCGGCGTCGGCGTCAGCGGCGTCTGCGTCGGCGTCCGCCCTCGTCGTCCGTCGTCATCGTCGTCGTCGTCGTCGTCCTCGTCGCCGCCGCCGACGTGCGGCCGCTGGTCGTCCTCTTTGTCCGCGTCGGCGTCGACGGCGTCGGCGGCGTCGGCGTCGGCGTCGACGTCGTCATCGGCATCAGCGTCGGTCTCGGCGACGCTCGTCGGCGTCGGCGTTGTCGTCGGCGTCGTCGTCGCCGTCGCCGCAAACATGCGGCCGCTGGTCGTCCTCTTTGTCGTCGTCGCCGTCGGCGGCGTCGGCGTCGGCGTCGGCGTCGGCGTCGTCGTCGCCGCCTAAATGCGGCCGCTGGTCGTTTTCTTTGTCGTCGTCGGCGTCGGCGGCGTCGGCGTCGGCGTAGGCGGCGGCATCGGCGTCGACGTCGACGACGGCGTCGGCGTCGTCGTCGTCGTGTTCGTCGTCGTCGTCGCCGTGTTCGTCGTCGTCGTCGTCGTGTTCGTCGTCGGCGTCGTCGTCGTCGTCGTTGCCGCCGCCGCCGCCGACGTGCGGCCGCTGGTCGTCCTCTTTGTCGGCGTCGGCGCCGTCGTCGGCGTCAGCGTCGGTTTCGGCGACGCTCGTCGGCGTCGTCGTCGGCGTCGGCGTCGGCGTCGTCGCCGCCGACGTGCGGCCGCTGGTCGTCCTCTTTATCGTCGTCGGCGTCGGCGGCGTCGTCGCCGGCGTCTGCGGCGTCGGCGTCGGTTTCGGCGTCGGCGTCTTCGGCGGCGTCAGCGTCGGTGTCGGCGTCGGTCGTCGTCGTCGGCGTCGTCGTCGGCGTCGTCGTCGTCAGCGTCGTCGTCGCCGCCGACGTGCGGCTGCTGGTCGTCCTCTTTGTCGTCGTCGGCGTCGGCGTCGGCGGCGTCGGCGTTGGCGTCGGCGTCGGCGTCGTCGTCGGCGTCGTCGTCGGCGTCAGCGTCGGCGTCGGCGACGCTCGTCGTCGTCGTCGTCGGCGTCGGTGGTGGCGTCGTCGCCGCCGCCGACGCGCGGCCGCTGGTCGTCCTCGTTGCCCTCGTCAGCGTCGGCGTCGTCGTCGGCGTCAGCATCGGTGTCGACGTCGCTCGTCGGCTTCGTCGTCGTCGTCGGCGGCGTCGTCGGCGTCGTCGTCGCCGCTGACGTGCGGCCGCTGGTCGTCCTCATTGTCGGCGGCGGGGGCGGCGGCGTCGGCGTCGGCGTCGGCGGCGTCGGCATTGGCGTCGGCGTCGGCGTCGTCGTCGGCGTCGGTGTCAGCGTCGGCGTCGGCGTCGCTCGTCGGCGTCGGCGTCATCAGCGGCGTCGTCGTCGTCGTCGGCGTCGTCGTCGCCGCCGACGTGCGGCCGCGTCGGTGTCGGCGGCGTCGACATCGTTGACGTCGCCGTCGTCGTCGCCGCCGACGTGCGGCCGCGTCGGTGTCGGCGGCGTCGACATCGTTGACGTCGGCGTCGGCGTCGTCGTCGGCGGCGTCGGCGTCTGCGTCGGCGTCGTCGTGGGCGTCGGCGTCGGCGTCCTCGTCGGCGTCGGCGTCGGAGTCAGGGTCGGTGTCGGCGTAGGCGTCGGCGTCGGCGTCGTCGTTTTCGGCGTCGTCGTTTTCGTCGGCGTCGTCGTCGTCGGCGTCGGCGTCGGCGTCGGCGTCGGCGGCGTCGTCGTCGTCGGCGGCGGCGGCGTTGTCGTCGTTGTCGACGTCGGCGTCGGCGTCGGCGTCGGTGTCGGCGTCAGCTTCGGTGTCGGCGTCGGCGTCGGCGGCGTCATCGTCCTCGTCGGCGTCGGCGTCGTCGTCGTTGGCATCGTCATCGTCGCCGTCGTCGGCGGCGTCGTCGTCATCGTTCGTCGGCGGCGGCGTCAGCGTCGGCCTCCGCGTAGGCCTCGGCGTCGTCGTCGGCGCCAGCGTCGGTGTCAGCGTCGGCGTCGGCGAAGACGTCGGCGGCGTCATCGTCGTCTTCGTCGTCGTCGTCGGCGTCGGCGTCGTCAGCGTCGACGTCGGCGGCGGCGTCGGCGTCGGCGTCGGCGTCGTCGTCAGCGTCGGCGTCGTTGTCGGCGTCGTCGTCGTCGTCGGAGGCGTCATCGTCGGCGTCGGCGTTGGCGTCATCGCCAGCGTCAGTGTCGGTGTCGGCGTCGGCGTCGGTGTAGGCGTCGTCGTCGGCGTCGTCGTCGCCGTCGGCGGCGTCGTCGCCCGCGTCGTCGTCGTCGTCCTCGTTGTCGACGTCGGCGTCGGCGGCGGCGGCGGCCTCGTCGGCGTCGGCGGCGTCGTTGTCGGCGTCGGCGTCGGCGTCGGCGTCGGCGTCGGCGTCGGCGTCGGCGTCGGCGTCAGCGTCGGTGTCGGCGTCGGCGTCGGCGTCGGCGGCGTCGTCGTCGTCGGCGTCGTCGTCGTCGTCAGCCAGCGTCGGCGTCGGCGTCGGCGTTGGCGTCGGCGTCGTTGGAGGCGTCATCGTCGGCGTCGGCGGCGTCGTCGTCGTCGTTATTCGTCGGCGTCGGCGTCGGCCTCCGCGTCGGCGTCGGCGTCGACGTCGGCGGCGTCATTGTGGTCGTCGTGGTCGTTGTCGTCGGCGGGGTCGGCGTCGGCGTCGGCGTTGGCGTCGGCGGCGTCGGCGTCGGCGTCAGCGTCGCGTCGGCGTCGGCGTCGGCGCCGTCGTCGGCGTCAGCGTCGGCGTTGTCGTCGGCGTCAGCGTCGGCGTCGGGTCGTCGTCGTCGGCGTCGTCGTCGTCGGCGTTGGCGTCGGCGTCGGCGTCTTCGTCGTCGTCGTCGTCGGCGTCGGTGTCTTCATCGTCGCTGTCGTCGTCGGCGTCGGCGTCGGCGTCGGCCACCGCGTCGGCTTCGGTGGCGTCGTTGGCACCAGCGTCGGTGTCGGCGTCGGCGTCGGCGTCGACATCGGCGGCCTTATCGTCGTCGTCGGCGTCGGCGTCGACGCTCGTCGTCGTGGTCGTCGACGACGTCGCGGTCGTCGTCGGCGTCGTCGTCGCCGCCGACGTGCGGCCGCTGGTCGTCCTCAGTGTCGGCGGCGGCGGCGGCAGCGTTGGCGTCGGTGGCGTCGGCGTCGGCGTCGGCGTCGTCGTCGGCGTCGGCGTCAGCGTCGGCGTCGGCGTCGCTCGTCGGCGTCGGCGTCTGCGTCGGCGTCGTCGTCGCCGCCGACGTGCGGCCGCTGGTCGTCCTCTGTGTCGTCGTCGGTGTCGACATCGTCGGCGTCGACGTCAGCGTCGGCCTCCGCATCAGCCTCGGCGTCGTCTTCGGCGCCAGCGTCGGTGTCGGCGTCGGCGTCGGCATGAGCGTCGGAGGCGTCATCGTTGGCGTCGTCGGCGTCGGCGTCGTCGTCGGCGTCGTCGTCGTCGGCGTCGGCGTCGGCGTCGGCGTCGGCGGCGTCATCGTCGTCGTCGTCGGCGGCGGCGGCATCGTCGTTGGCGTCGTCGGCATCGTCGTCGTCGGCGTCGTTGTCGGCGCCAGCGTCGGTGTCGGCATCGGCGTCGGCGTCGACGTCGGCGGCACTATCGGCGTTGTCGGTGTCGGCGCCGACGCTCGTCGTCGTCGGCGTCGTCGTCGTCGGCGGCGGCGGCGGCGCCGGCGTCGGCGACGGCGTCGGCGTCGGCGTCGGCGTCATCGTCGGCGTCGGGGTCGTCGACGGCGTCGGCGCCGGCGTCGCGGTCGTCCTCTTTGTGGTCGTCGGCGTCGTCGTCGGCGTCGTCGTCGGCGGCGGCTTCGGCGTCGGCGGCGGGGTCGGCGTCGGCGGCGGCGGCTTCATCGGCGGCATCGTCGTCGTCGTCGGCGGCGGCGGCGTCGGCGTCTTCGGCTGCGTTGGCGTCGGCGTCGGCGTCTGCGTCAGATTCGACATCATCGTCGTTGTGGTCGTCCTTTTTGTCGTCGTCAGCGTCGTTGTTGGCGTCGTCGGCGTTGACCTTGTCGTCGGCGGCGTCATCGTCGTCGTCGTCGGCGGCGAACCTCGTCGGCGGCGACGCTCGTCGTCGGCGTCGTCGTCGGCGTCGGCATCGTCGTTGTCGTCGGCTCCGGCGTCGGCGTCGGCGGAGTCATCGTCGTCGTCGTCGTCGACGGCGTCGTCGTCGTCGGTATCGGCGTCGGCGCTGGCGTGAGAGTCGGCGTCGTCGTCGGCGGCAGCGTCGGCGTCGCGGTCGTCCTCTTTGTCGTCGTCGGCGTCAGCGTCGGCTTCGGCGTCGTCGTCGGCGTCGGCGTCGGCGTCGGCGTCGGCGTCGGCGTCAGCGGCGTTAGCGTCGGCGTCGGCGGCGTCGGCGTCGGCGTCGGCGTCGTCGTCGGCGTCAGCGTCGGCGTCTGCGCGTCGGCGTCGGCGTCGCGGTCGTCCCCTTTGTCGTCGTCGTCGTCGGCGTCGGCATCGGCGTTGGCGTCGGCGTCGTCGGCGTCGCGTCGTCGTCGGCGTCGGCGTCGGCGTCGCCGGCTTCGGCGTCGGCGTCGTCATCGGCGTCAGCGTCGGTGTCGGCGTCGGCGTCGACATGGGTGGCGTCGGCGTCGGCGTCGTCGTCGGCGTCGTCGGCGTCGGCGTCGGCGCCCTCGTCGGCGTCGACGTTGGCATCGTCGTCGACGTCGGCGTCGACGACGTCGTCAGCGTTGTTGGCGTCGGCGTCGTCGTCGTCGGCGCCGGCGTCGGCGGCGGCATCGTCCTCTTTGTCGGCGTCGGCGTTGGCGAAGTCATCCTTGTAGTCGTCGGCGGCGACGCTCGTCGTCGTCATCGTCGTCGTAGTCGTCGGCATCGGCGCCAGCGTCAGCGTCGGCGTCGGCGTCTGCGGCGTCATCGTCGTCGTCGGGCTCGGCGACGGCGGCAGCGTCAGCGTCGGCGTTGTCGTCGGCGTCATTGTCAGAGTCGGCATGGGTGTCGGCGTCGGCGTCGGCGGCGTCATCGTCGTCGTCGTGGTCGTCGTCGGCGGCGTTTGCGTCGGCGTCGGCGTTGGCGTCGGCGTCGGCGTCAGCGTCGGCGTGGGCGTCGGCGTCGGCGTCGGCGTCGGCGGCACGGTCGTCCTCGTTGTCGTCGTTGACGTCGGCGTCAGCGTCGACGTCGTCGTCAGTCGTGCGCAGTGCATCGTCGGTCGTCGTTCGTCGCCCGTCGCCCGCCGTCCAGGGGGTGGCCGCAGCGGCCGCACTCGCCCCGGCCGAGCGGGCGGGCGCCAGCGGGCCTGGGCGCGGGCACGCCGTCGTCGCCGTCGGCGGCGGAGCGGGAGATCGCGTTCGCGCTGCACCAGGACCAGCTGCTGCGCTCGTCGCTGCAGGCGACGGAGCAGCCAGCGACGGGGCGGGGGCTCAGATCCTCCTCCTCCTCCTCCTCCTCCTCCTCCTCCTCCTCCTCCTCCTCCTCCTCCTCCTCCTCCCTCTGCTCCTCCTCTCCTCCTCCTCCTCCTCCTCCTCCTCCTCCTCCTCCTCCCCCTCCTCCTTATCCTCATCCTTATCATCGTCATCATCAGCATCATCATCATCATCATCATCATCATCATCATCATCAGCATCAGCATCATCATCAGCATCATCATCATCATCATCATCATCATCATCATCATCATCATCATCATCATCATCATCATCATCATCATCATCATCATCATCATCATCATCATCATCATCATCATCATCATCATCATCATCATCATCATCATCATCATCATCATCATCATCATCATCATCATCATCATCATCATCATCATCATCATCATCATCATCATCATCCGCTCCTGGACGCGGGCTGGTCAGCTTTCAGCCCGGGTACCTGGAAGCGGCCGACTTTCGAGGGCACCGAGGTCTGGGACATTCCCCTCGCCAGCCCTGACGGCCAGCTGCAGGCCGACTTCATTGAGTTCTCGGAGTTGTTGGACGACCTCGAGCACGACCTCATCCAGCTCCGTTGGCAGCAGGCGGCGCGCCATCTCCATGGCAAGGGCCTGCAGCACGGCGGCGACGTCTGGCCAGTTACGAGGGAGTTCGACTACTACGCCAAGCAGGAGTGGGCGCTCAACTACCTCGTGGTGGTCGGCGGGCAGTGGCCGCGTCAGCGGCAAGCGGATGCAGGCTACCAGAGCAGCCTCCTCTGCCCCAGGTGCTTGGGCGCGGACGAGGCGCTGGCCCACCGCATATTGGAGTGCCCATGCAATGTGGGTAAGCTTGCGTACGACAAGACACAGCTTCTCGTCCCGCAGGCGCTGGCGGAGCACGAGGCCTGCACAGCGCCGTGGCCCAGGGGCGTCAGCCCCAAGAGCCGAGCCACGCCCGCAGTGCTGGGCCCCGACCTGGAGCGCTTCCGCGACGTCGGCCAGCACATTTTCATCTTCGGGGACGCCTCTGGAGGTCGACGAGCCGAAGACCCCAGGCGACGCCGCGTGGGAGCGGCCATCTGCACGCCTCGGCGTCACGATGGCAGCTGGGTGCTCCAGAAGGGCGCCCTCGGCATCCTTCCAGGCCGGCGTCAGACGGTGCCCCGTGGCGAGATTTATGCCGTCGTCGTTGCGCTGGAGCAGGTCTTGCACGAATTCACTTACGTGATGGACCATCGGCCGCTATTGCTGGGCTGGCTAGTGGGAAAGGCGCGGGATGTCGGGAACGGCAAGAACGCGGACCTCTGGGCCAGAATCGCTCGCGCCTTGCGAGCCCACCCTGATCGCCAGATCACCATGGTCTGGACGCCCTCGCACCAGGACGATGACGGCGAGACCATCGTGGACGAGTACCTGGCCACGGGCAACTGCTGCGCCGACCGCCTGGCAGGCATTGCGGCGGAGTGGGCAGACATGTTTCTCCTCGGCGACGGCCGCGAGGACCGCTGGGATGTCATCGGCTCCCAGATCGAACGGCGGGCGCAGCAGGCGTTATTGGACGCAGCTGGTGGGGACCCTTGGCTGGCGGAGAGGCCGTCGACGTGGCGCCCTGTGCAGGACCCGCCGATGCTTAAGGCGATCCGCACCTCGGCCCATGCGCTGGTAGCCGTCGGCCAGAAGTGGAAGTGCCTCCGAGGCCGTGTGATGCGGCCGCGCGCGTGCCTCGGCGACTCGGCCGCCTCCGAGTGCGGGCCGCAGCTGGCGGAGATGAAAGCCCACAGCGATGACATTGTGGCGGTCCCGCCAGGCGCCGAGGTCGCCATGGGCAGCGGCGACGTAGACTCCTCCCACCACCTGTGCGAGTGGGCGGCGCACTCGCTCTTCGTCTGCATGGTGTGCAGCACTGACGGCACCACCCTTGGGGCAGGCTGGCGGCGGGCCTGTCTGGGGAAGGCGAGCAGGAACAGCCGAGAGGCGCTCGCCCGCATCAAGATGGGCATCTACCCAGGCCGTGCGGGCCCACCTCAGGCAGCTAAGAGAGCTTCCGAGGTCGCCACAGTGGCAGACAGCACCTGCAGGAGCGCCCCCGCCCCCCGCCGAGCAGGTGCTCGTGAACGACCTCCGAGCGCCGATCACGGCGGCGACGACGAGCACGAGCAGGTCCGCGCCCCCTCCCTGGGTTACCCGGGAGCGCTGCACGCGGAGGCCGGCGCGGCCGCGGCGCCGCCCCCGCGGCCCCGAGCTCCGCGGCCCCCCGCGGGCGGGCCGAGCGACGCGAGCGGGGCGCCCGGGAGGCGAGAGAGCCCCCCTGCGGGAGCAGCGCCCGAGCGGCGGGCCCCCCCCCCGCGGGCGCGGGCGCGGGGCCGCGGCCTCCGCGCAGCGAGCTGGCGGGCGCCGGGAGGGAGCGGCGCACCGTGGAGAGGCCTGCGCCCGCCTCCTGGGCGCCGCCGCGCGCCCCCTGGAGGCCCAGCGCGCGGGGCGAGGAGGAGGAGGAGGAGGAGGAGGAGGAGGAGGAGGAGGAGGAGGAGGAGGAGGAGGAGGAGAGGAGCAGGAGGAGGAGGAGGAGGAGGAGGAGGAGGAGGAGGGCAGGCAGGAGGAGGTTCCCGGTGGCGTGCCTGGCCCTGCCGCGGGCCCCGCGGCACCCGCCGGTGGCGCGCCGCCGGCCTGCACGCGAGCCGAGCCCGCCGTGCAGGCCGCGGCCCCGCTGCGGCGAGCGGGAGCCGCAGGGGGTCTCTGCGGGAGCTCCTCGCTTGCGCGCAGCGGGCCCCGCACGCGGCCCCGGAAGGGCGGCCCGCCGCGGCCCCGTCGGGAGCCCGCCCGCGCGCGCGCCCGCCTGGCCCGCCGCGCGACGGGCGACGGGCGTGACCCGAACTCCTCTGGGGGCGCCGCGCCGCCGTCTCTGAGGCGGCGGCGCGGCCTCCGCTGAGGCCGAGCCTTCCTTCCTTCCTTCCTTCCTCCCTCCCCCTCCGCCCCCCCTCTCCCCCTCCTCCCCCTCCCCCATCCCTCCTCCTCTGGGGCTCCGGTCGTGATTTGTAACGACGTTTCATTTTTGTTCGCGGCGTCGGATCTCAGGGGACATCCGGCGTCTTGAGTTTCTCAACTGGGGGGGCCCAGGGACACACCAATCATAGGCACAACTCCCATGGTTCCCACTGAGTTCCATATTTTCTGGCTGCTCGTCTGCCCCTCCACTTCCAATATGTTCCATGTTTTTCTGGGAGTCGACGATTCTTTCCGATACCGCTAACTACCTTTCCGTCGTCGCCTCAGCCGGATGCGCCTCGCAGTGTATCGGTCATAGAATACGCCCGGCTGCTGGAAGTGGCACGTGGAGCAGGGCGGAGAGGGCACCTTTTTGCCCCCTCCCTCCCCCCCCCGTGGGAGGGTGGGGGAAGGAGAGGAGGGAGAGGGGGAGAGGAGAGGAGGGAGGGGAGGCGCAGGGGCGGGTGGAGAGGAGGGAGGGGGGGTGGGTGGAGAGGGGGGAGAGGAGGGAGGGGAGGGTGGAGAGGAGGGAGAGGGGAGGAGGGGAGGGGGGAGGAGAGGGGAGGAGGGGTGAGGGTAGAAGGGGGCGGGGAGGGTAGGAGGAGGAAGGGTGAGGACGGGGCAGAAAAAAACATGAGGACGATGATGATGATGATGATGATGATGATGATTGATGATGATGATGATGATGATGATGATGATGATGATGTGATGATGATGATGATGATGATGATGATGATGATGATGATGATGATGATGATGATGATGACGACGACGATGATGATGATGATGATGCTGATGATGCTGATGATGCTGATGGTGATGATGATGATGATGCTGCTGATGGTGGGGATGATGATGCTGATGATGATAATAATGATTATAATGATGATTGCGGTGGTGATGATGATGATGATGATGCTGATGGTGATGATGACGTTGCTGATGATGATGCTGATGATGCTGATGGTGATGATGATGTTGATGCTGATGATGGTGATGGTGATGGTGATGTTGATAGTGATTATGATGATGGTGATGTCGATGTTGATGATGATGATGCTGGTGATGATGATAATGATTATCATGGTAATGATGCTGGTTGTGGTGATGATGATGGGGCTGATGCTGATGCTGATGGCGCTGCTGCTGTTGATTGTGATAATGACGACGACGACCACCACCACCACGACGATGACGATGATGGTGATAATGATGATTATGATGATGTTAATAAAGATTAAGATGCGGACGAAGATGCGGACGATGATGATGATGATGTCGAAAGTTATGGTGATTGTGATGATGCTGATGTTGAGGATGGTGAGGATGAGCATGACGTTGATGAGGGAAGTAATTACGGTGATGATGATGATGATGATGATGATGATGATGATGATGCTGAGTGGGATGAGGACGATGGTGATTATGATGGTGACGATAACGATGTTCATGGTGATGATGATGACGTTGCTGTTGATGATGATGATGATGATGATGATGCTGTTGGTGATGTTGATGTTGATGCTGGTGCTGGTGATGATGATGGTGACGATGATGACGATGATGGTGATGATGATGATGGTGGTGGTGGTGACGATGATTATGTTCGTGGTGCTAATGGTGATGATGGTGAGGGAGGGTGATGGCGATTACGGAGATGGTGTTGGTGATGATTGGGATCGATGATGTTGTTGATGATGGGATGATGATGCTGATGATGATGTCGGCGATGATGGTGATTGTGATGATGATTATAATGATGCTGATGATGCGGTTGAGGATGATCAGGATGTTGATGATTGACACAATGCTGGTGATGGTGATGAGGAGGAGGACGATGATGGAGGTGAGGATGAGGATGAGGATGAGGATGGTGATGATGATGATGTAGATGATGGTGAGTGTGATGCTGATGGTGTTGATGATGATGCTGGTAATGATAATGATGATGGCATTGTTAAGATTATGAGTATGATGACCGGGATTATGATGATGCTGTTAATGATGATTATGATGATGATGATGATGATGATGATGATGATGATGACGATGACGATGACGATGACGATGACGATGATGAGGAGGAGGAGGATATTCATGATGATGGTGATGATGATGATGATGACGATGAGGAGGAGGAGGAGGAGGAGGAGGAGGAGGAGGAGGAGGAAAGTGGATGAGGATGAGGATCAGATTAGGGAGGAGGATTGGGATGGGGAAGGAAGAAGAAGGGAGGGAGAGCGTGAAGGAGAGAGGGAGGGAGAGATGGAGGGAAGGATGGACGGGGAGAGGGAGGGACGAATGGACAGCAGGGAGTGTCTGGAGGAGGCGGAGGCAGGCCGACGAGAGGGAGGAGAACGAAGAGGAAGAGGCACAGAAGAAGGAGGAGCAGGGACGAGGGTGGAGGGGAAGAGGAGGCGGAGGAGGAGGAAGAGGGTGAAGGGGAAGAGGAGGAGGAGGAGGAAAAAGAGGAGGGCAAGATGGAGCAGAGATGAGGATGGAGGAGACGGAGGAGGAGGAACAAGAGGAGGAGGAGGAGGAGGAGGAGGAGGAGGAGGAGGAGGAGAAGCAAGAGGAGAAGGAGGAGGAGCAAGAGGAGAAGGGAGAGGAGGAGGAGGAACAAGAGGAGGAGGAGGAGGAGGAGAAGGAACAGGAGGAGGAGGATGGAGGGAAGAGGAGGAGGAGGAATATGAGGAGGAGAAGCTGGAGCAGAGATGAGGATGGAGAAGGAGAAAGCAGCGATGAGGGCTGTTACCGTTGGCGCTTTCCGGGCGGCCAGCCGCTTCCAGGCGACCGACCGGGAGATCGCCACACAGACTTCCGACGTCTCGGACGGGTCTGAGGCCACGCCCTCTTCGGAGGCTTCCATCCCTGGCAGGCCATCCTCTTCCCACCCACTCCTCCTTCATCCATCGTCCCTTCTCCCCGACCCTCACTTGTTCGTCCCTGTCCTGCTCCTCTACCTCCCCCGCCTCCTCCGCCTCCTCATCTCCATCTCCACCTCCTCGTCCTCCTCCCCCTCCCCCTCGTCCACCTCCTCCTCCACCTCCTCTTCCTCCTCCTCCTCCTCCTCCTCCTCCTCCTCCTCCTCCTCCTTCTCGCCTCCTTATCCACCTCTTTCCTCCGCCTCCTCCTCTTCCATCTCTTTTTCTGCATCAATAATTCATCCCAGACGTGTTGGTAGGGCGGGCCGGGCGTTTCGCCTGAGACACTCGCACCATGTATGATCCTGAAGCGTGAATTGAATTCTGGAGCAGATTCGAGGATGGAGGGCGGGTGGTTTTCATCATGTGGCTTTCGCCATGGCGCCGCGCATATGCGTTCGAAACGTTCGCAACAGCGTAATTGCTGGAAGGCGGGGACATGTTCAAAATGTTGCTCTCGACCCAGCGCCGCGCACATTCGTCGTAAAAGTGTGCAGCAGCTTCAAGGATGGAGGGCGGGTTGGTTTGAACATGTGGCTTCCGATTCAGCGCCGCGCGAATTCTCTTAAACAGTTTGCAGCAGTTTCGATGACGCAGGGTGGTTCCTTTCTAAGTATGGGTCTCGCCTTAGCGCCGCGCACGGTCGTCTGAAGTATTGGTGAAGTCCCAGTAATGGCGTTCTGGCACGATCTAAGATTGTCAGGACGCAATCGGCACGTGATTTCTCTGTGTCGAAATCCCAGGAATGGTGTTCTGGCGCGGTCTAGGATTCTGAGGACGCAACAGTCATGTTGATTCTCGCCGTTGAAGTCCCAGGAATTGTGTCTTGGCGCGATTGAACACTCTCAGACGGGTGTCTTCCAATGGAGCGCTTCCTTCAATGAAAATAGAGTCTTATAGGGACCTATGAAGAGGGCATTTGGAGGGAGGGTGTGCTGCGATATCGTCGATGCGTCTTGGGTCTTCACTGGTCCTCCGCCTCTTCCTCGTCCTCTTCTCCTGCCCCTGCCCATCATTCTTCTACTCCTCCTCCTCCTCCCCCTCCTCCTCCTCCTCCTCCTCCTCCTCGTTCTCCTCCTCCTCCTCCTCCCCCTCCCCGCCGTCCCCTGACAGGTCCGCGGGCTGACGGGGGTGCATCCAGATGGTGGCGTGATGAGCCCAAGTCCCTAGATGGCGTTCTCTGCAGACTAGGTCGCATTCCTTTCCCCTCCCTTCCCACGCCAGCGACCAAAAACACCGGCGCGCCAGGAGGGAGGAGGAGTGGGGAAAGCGAGGAGGAGGAGGAGGAAGAGGAGGAAGAGGAGGAAAGGAGAAGGAGGAATGTGGGAAAGGGAGGGCGGATGAAGGAGCAGGGAGGATAACCAGGAAGGAGGAGAAGGGAGGAGGGTGAGGAGAAGGAGGAGGAAGAGGCGGAAGAGCAGAAGGAGCAGGAGGAGCAGGAGGAGTAGGAGGACGACAACGAGTAGGATGAGGCGTGCGAGGAGGATGGGGGGGAGGAGGAGGAGGAGGAGGAGGAGGAGGAGGAGGAGGAGGAGGCGGAGGAGGAGGAGGAGGAGGAAGAGGAGGAGGAGGTGGAGGAGGCAGGAGCAGGAACGAAGAACGAGAGGTGGCTTCGAGGTGGTCCGGGGTCGTGTGCGGCCGCGCCTCTCCTCCCATCCCCTCCGTACCTCCCCTCCCCCCACCTGCACTCCCCTCCCCTCCCCTTTCCTCCCCTTCCCTCCTCCCCGTCCCTCTCCTCCCCTCCTCCCGCCTCCCCTCCTCTCCTCCACTCCTCCCTCACCTCCCCTCCCCTGCAGGAGCGGCGCCGTCTCGCGAGTGGTGTGCCTCCCGCTTCAGGTCAGAGTCCGAGGGGGGTGGAGGCGGTGGAGGCAGCGGCAGAGCGTGTAGCGCGGAAAGTGGCTGATGGTCGGCCACGCTCGCGGCATCGTGGCAGAGTCCTCCCCTCCTCCCTCCCTCCCTCCCCCTCCCCTCCTCCACTCCCCCCTCCTCCCCTCCCCTCCTCCCCTCCCCCTCCCCTTCCTCGCCTCCCCTCGCTTCGCGGCCAGCTCCGCCGACCCTATGCGGGAAACAGCTCGGGGGCAGCAGGCGGAGATCGAACAGGGCAGAGGGGTCAGCGGCCTTCGGCGGCCGCCGGCGGCCCTCGTCGAAGACGACGACGGCGACGACGACGACGGCGACGACGACGACGACGACGGCGACGGCGACGACGACGGCGACGGCGACGGCGACGGTGACGGCGACGACCGCGACGGCGACGGCGACTACGGCGGCGGCGACGACGACGACGGCGACGACGACGACGACGGCGGCGACGACGACGACGACGACGACGACGGCGGCAATGGCGACGACGACGGCGGTGACGGCGACGGCGACGGCGACGGCGACCGCGACGAC